TCGGAGCGGGGAAGGAGCCGGTCCCTCGTCCTGGCGCTTTGTGCGCCGCGCAGGCCCCGGGGTGCGGCGGCCGGGGAGATCCTGGAGGTCTTCGCCTGTCCCGCTTAGGAAGCGTTTTTGCTGGGCCTTAATGGGCAACGTAAAGCCTTCCCTAGAGACGTAGGTAGTGCCAGCGGGTTGGGTTTTGATGGTCTAAGTTAATTACTCCTTGTTCTGTCAATGGCAGGTTGTAATAGTTACGCTCTTCTTGGGCAGTGTGCTCAGTTTCGTGGTTGATGATTTACCTGTGGAGTGGGTTAGGAACACGAGAGGCGAATGCCGTGAGAGCGAGAGCTTGAAGGTGATGCCAGGCACTACGTAAGGGTTGCATGTCTGATGTCAATAGAATGTTACAGAAATTAAAAAAACAAACAAACCTGCAGAGGTTACAATTTTAGATCCGTAAATGTGGGGACAATAAGCAGAAAACGCTTGAACTGCTTGTCACTCCTGTGTTAATGCTAACCTTATTTTGGAAAACTTCGTAGTTAGCAAAGCTTTTTGTAATACCAAATCTGTGGAATAAAGAACACATTTTCTTGAGTTAATTTTTGGCCCCAGGCCTTAAATGCCGTGGAGATAAGACTCTCAGAACATCGGGTTCAAAATGCTGATTAATGTTTCAGACTTGAGGTCAGATTTGTTTATCTGCTGTTCTGAGGTGTGTTACATAGTTGTGTGTCAGTCAGGCTGCCGGTTGCTGCAGGCTGTTACGCCCAGGCATGTTGCGTATCTGTAGTCTGACCCAGAGCTGACAGATCTGAATAGCAGAGGCCAGCTCGATGGTCTGTAGCTAATTGGAGATAATATGGGTACGGTGAGGAGGCGGCGGTGTGTCTCAATTTGAAAAACCGCTCTCATCTGCCTCTGCTGCCCGAGTTTGTGGATTGTGGTTCACATGACCAGGAAGGTAGTCAGCTTTCCAAGTGTCGCTTTTTGGGGAAGAATGTCCACATCTGTTTGTTTTGGGTTTTTTTTCAACACAAAATAGTTAAACTGTGCTTATGGCAACTGAAAAAATACTGACATAGGCAACTCTTTCTGTCTTCTTCCTGCCAGGCAGAAGCAGGCATGCCTGTTCAGGAGCGGAGGCAGTCCTGACCCTGGAGGGTGGGGATCCCAGTGCCACCATGGCACGTGATACAGTGACACGTAATATGTTAGCCAGGGCTCGGGAAGGATCTTCCCATCATCTTCTCTCCTCCTCGTGTTGGGTAGTTGGTGCGGGGAGGATGTTCATGTCTTAGATTCTGTTTACGCCTCAAAGCTCGCTCTTGGCGACTGTAGCGGAGCCTGCAGCTCTAGGTAATACGTAATCAGTAATTCGTCTTATATGAGGAGACGATTTATTCCTGGAGGTATAAGTAAAGATGTCTGCTTTGTTCTGATTTTTCCTGGCCCCCATTATATTTGGAGTCTCTCCAGAAAGCTTATCTTTTTATCTAGGTGCAATTCTATTTGTAATATCAAGCTCCATGTGGCAGAGCTAACACGTCTGCAGTGATAATGCCAACATTCATGTGAACGTATTTTCAGCGTCCGGGGGGG